CCACTTCTCGCTCCAAACAGATATCACATTAATTCAAATCCAGAATAACTTGCTCATAATGCAGTATTCACACTTTCATTTCAAAGTTTTAAATAATCACGAGTCAAATACAAGGAATCTTATGCATTTTATCCAGACATTGGTTTAATTCATATCATTATTGCAACATATACACCTACCTAAATCCTGAGTTTAACTGCTACACAATGGAAAATAAATATCTTCACAGCGCTATTCATCTTCAAATTAGAACACCGAGCGTTACCTGTTTACAAAACGGATTATCAGTGCAGAAACAATATAACAGCTGAAATAAAAATCTAAATAGATATCTGATATGATATAGGTGAGCTCAGTACATTATTTCACGTCATTCTCATGTCTTTCACTTTCCACATATCAATCTTAATATAAGTCATAACTTTTCAAGTTCAATTTCAAGGTAACGTACCACTTCATAGACAATTTTCAATGAGTATTCAATAATAATTTTGGAGGCATAATCCCCATTTTTTAAATGATCATGTATTTTGTACAGAAAGTCATCTCAATGAATTAACCTTTAACACTAATACTCATCATGAAAATGAAAATGATAACAAAAGTCGTCAATAATGAATCATGAATAGATCAATGATACCTCCTGTATTCTTTAGATAACCATATAGCTCCATATAAATGTACATGGCAGGAATTGCTAAAAAGAATATATGAATATTGGATAAGATAAAGCAGTTCATTTCTGAAATTCCATCAACAGACTAACATGGAAAATCTATTAAAGAATACCAATCACCTGAAGAAAAAAAAAGCATTTGTGTATGGCTAGAAGTCACATTTATGTTGAATGAGATGCATCTTAACTTGCAATATCTCTTTAGATGTAACATTTGAAGCTCATATTTTAAATATAGTATAGCAACTTAAAACCCCTATCATACATAGCAAAATATATTTGGTGATTGGTACATTTTATAAGCATTTCGCAAGGAAATTCACGCTTTCTTTTTCCTCCACTCTTATAAGATTCAATTATCTTGGATTTGCACCATTAAATCCTGTCATACATACCAAACATTTTTTTTCTAGAATTATTCTAGAAAATAGTATGACATATTTTTATTTTTCTCTTCAAATAAAAATCCTTGTGATATTTTAGAACTTGTTGTTGCTGTTTTAAATAAAATCAATCATTTACATTCTCTAGTAAACAATATCAAACAAATTGGTTCTGAACACAAAAAAAAGAGGGTTTCTATGTATACAAGTACATTTATGTTACCATACACTGCTCTTCACATTAGAGGATTGGAAAATATTCACACAAGATTATTTTTTTTTACAAATCCACTTCCACATTTTATTATCTTATATACAATATTATCATCTGCAGAGAGCCTACAGGGCCTCAACTGATACTGTTTTACACATATACCCTTCTGACTCTAAGCAGACTTCTCTATGATGTAATGCCACCTTTCTCCCTCATAAACTTCTTGGAAGGTACAGAACGTGAAGCATTTGCAGAGATGAAAATGAGTATATATTTTTAAAGTTTTTTCTAAAGCAGTTCAAAAGAAAAAGATTTACACTCAAGCTTCTAATTTTTGAGATCAAATTCACATGATTCACATTTGCTTAATTGTTAGTATTAAAAGTATGATTTTAACATTTGGACATGAATGTAAATATAATTTCCTTGTTTACTAGTTTGCCTTCAAATTATTTGAAAAAAATTATCCATGAATACAGAAAATGATCAACATTTTGCAGGATATTATTGATATATCTATTCATATCACATTTCAAATAAATTGAAAAATCATAAATCTTCCCACAACCCATGGAGAAAGTGCAAGAATTTTCCATACTGTCATCATCCTCAATATCATCTTGCCTCTCATAACTTTTTTTAACAGATTTTACATGTTCTTTCAATTTTCAAAGCTAATTAGCACCTTCAACAATTTATTTAAATTTGTAACATCAATTTCTTGCCTTTGAAAATTAGATTGAAGTTAATGCCTCATACAGGCCTGTTTTCAGTTCAGCTGTCTGTAATTGCTAAATAAAATGCCAGTCAATACATGCCAATAAATCAAATGACAAACAATAAATGCCAATGAATAAAATACCATTCAATAAATGACAAGTCATAAATGCCAAATTATATAATGACAATCAGTTAAATTCAATTTAATAAAATGACAGCCAATAACATGTCATTTTTTAGTAAACTGCCTACATCACACAGGAATATAACATAACATAACAGACTGTATAATCACACAAAACGTATCATAGTAGTACAAGAGAATTATGTAAATTGAATTTCATTTATTTGCGACCTTAGGTCTAATCACCAAATGTCAATCAATCAGTCATCTGTCTTGATACCCATCTGGATCTCATCACATAAATTTATAAAATCTACCATACAGCATACTTGCAATAGCATGGAAACCTTGCAAAGTTTGGTCAAAATATTCTTGCAAGTTGGTCACATTATTGTTAAAGAAAATAAAATTGAGAACTCGAATATGTCCTGTATTACATTTCATCTATCTATTACATATTCAATAATATATACGAACATACATGTATCAAACTACAGCCCATAATACAAAAGGAAGTAGAAACTGGTTTATTCAGGTTTTGTTTTTACTGTTAGTGGTTAAACCCATAGCATATTGAGAGAGACAGTTGTGAAAAGGGCACATAAGCTTACACGAGATGGGTCATAGGTTAAATAATGTTGCTCCGAATAGTTTCCTCCTGTGTACAATCTCTATGGGAGAGAACTATTTGAAGTTTCATGAAATGACTTGATCACTCAAAAGCAACTTCCGGTTATATAACTGTCTCTCTCATGTGGCTATGGTAAAAACTAAATATGACAGGATTTGCTCAGGCCAAATAAAGCCTATTAAATTGCATGATAATGCCCCATATAAACACAGAGCAAAGGTCTAAAAATGATAACAATTTAAACAATGACACAATGTAAAGATTTGTGAGTGCACCTATGCATCAAATGTAAATAGATAATTATTTGCATAATAAATGAATACCGGTACCCAGTAATTGCACCCAACCATTATTATTTACTCTGCTTATTATTTCCTTAGTTTCGATAGTATGATTCTAACTATCATCAGTGATGACTCTAATAACCTCACAGCAATCATTTCCAAAACTTCAATTGTCAATAAATCATTCTAAAATGACTGACTACAAAAATAGCAAAAAATATATTTTCTAGTGAAAAATAATTTTGAAATAAACAAATCTGAAATATGTAAATAATGAAAATTAAATTCACATATAATTAAAATATAACTTAAACTTCAACACTTCAAATAAACAATTTTTGCCAAATTATTTTGTAGATAATGTTATTAAGTTAAAGTAAAGGGGAGCAAAGAAAGATAATTGAATCAAACTCATTGCAACACCCACGCATATTTGTCGAGTTTGCTTATGAACCAACTATACCCCTATACGAACAAACAAGTAAATTTAAAGCAAACTGAGGCCTTTCATAATCATAAGTATCTTGCATTGAATCCACTTCTATTACAGAAATCTGACAATTTGAATAATGGGGCTAACCAGTACTCTCATTGGCTTTAAATCACAAAACTCCTAGTTTAAGACTTCACATTCGATGCCTGCAATGAGCACCTTCCACATGTACAACATCAACACTCTCACTCATATGATTTTACTTCAAACCCGTGCTTTCTTCAGTATCTGAGTTGATAAGTAGACTTGTCAAGTTGCTTGATTGCTCCTCCATTATTACACAACAGTTAAGAATTTGGCTAAACTAAGAAAAAACTTCTAATATGAGTTGAAAATAATACTGCAATATTATTGTCTTTTCAGCTCCTGGTTATCGAGAAGCTGCCAGTCACAGATTATGAACAGCTTGTACTAAAGCATAAAATTCAAAGCATAATTTTGAATCTTATTCCAATTTTCAATTGTTATATAATTTTGCAATATCATAATAACCATTGAACACTATTCAAATGCACCACATAATATGATAAACACAAAACTGTCATTGTATATATTAATAATCAACTATGTACAGCTTTTAAGCTAGAAAAAAAATGTACATCACACGATTATATAAATATTCATCTGAAGTGGCAGTTGAACTGACACATGAATACCTAATCAATTACACACACCTACAGGTAGTGACTTGATACTTTATTAACAAAATGAGCGATGCATCTACTTTCGAAACAAATGCAAAGTAATATATATATCTGACATTCACTAGTTTAATTAACAACATGGAACAGGGTATTTCCCCAAATCAAAGTACCATCATTTCAAGAATATATTATTTGATACATGTAGCTTCTAGCATCTTAAGTACTTTACTTCATAAAGGTGATTGTAGACCATTAGCAAGGGTGACTAGATAATAGATATTAATTTTATGAAGCATAATATACTAGAACATTATTCTGTGACATCATCCAGGCCAATATAGGATACAAGACAATCTGACTATCACAGGAAGGAAGGGAAGAGCTTCTGCTACAATGAGAAATTAGTTTTCTTTTGAAATAGATCAACTTTAGAACAGAAGATAATGAAGCTGTAACACAATATAACGTAGAAATTCATGCCTGGGCAATATGAAAATATTTCACCTTCTATTTTCAACAGATACTTATGTGAACGCACCAATGAATGGTGTTTATTCTATAAAACATCAATTGTTGCGACAATGAGAAAAGAACAATAAAATGAGAGATTAAATAGTTTATTTTTTAATATACCAAACCTATTCAGTTTCAAAGTGGTCTTACTACACATATAAAGTTAATGTGGTATCACTATTTGATAGTAAACATGCTTTTAACCAATACAGTAAGACTGGAATCTTATGTCTCTAGATAAGGTTATTTGTAGTTGTCCCTCTAGGCCCTAATGTAGTCAATGCTAGTTGGTACCTGGTATTCTTTGTAATGTACTGTATGCTTATAATGGATGCCTGAAGCCAGGATATGAATCTTCGATGCAAAGGAATAGATTTCTTTTAAATATTTAATTGTGCTACATAAGAAGGAATATTATTATGATTATCATATTGCAACATCAAATCCTTTCAAAACCCATAGCATTACAAAGAGCTTGGAGCCCTTGCCTATCCCTGCACTATTCTTGAAAACTTTGGTGATTTGCAGTTAGTACTGAAAACATATAGAGCAAAAAAAGAGCAAAGTTGTCTTCAAATATTTTGTTAAAACAATAAGTTAAATATGATCTGCATGTTCTAGAACTGTTTGGATTTAATGATGGCAGTGTAAGAAGGTGGTGACTAATAATGCCAGTTGACTAATTAAAATCACTTTCTACAGGCATACGGAAAGAACACCACTGGAATACTCGGGGATGCACACTAGTGAATAATCTAACAAGTCTCAAATACAACAGCCCTATAAAACTCTACCATATTATTCATGCTTGGAGATGGGTGCGTTGGAAGCAGAGGAAATAGTCCTCGTGCAAGCGAGTTTGACTGATAACCAATGTTATAGCAATTATTTCCAATATTTCTTCCTATTATTTCTTTTTATTCCCAGAATTTCAATTCATTCGTACAAAACTTTTATTTATCTATCAGAGGATCTTCTCCCTCAAAAGTGACCATTTGTGATATCTTTATATTAAATAGATTAGATACATTAGATATACATACATGTACCTTCTTTCTCAGTCATGTACATTCTTTATCAGTCACGACACAGCTGGTTACTGTTGAAAAGGTTTACACTTCTATAAAGCGTATGTCATATTACATAAAGCAAAACAGCTGGCAATGTATTTTTCTCCATAGCATCTATATATAAGACTGGCTGGGTGAACACAAGGCTTGTATCAAGGCAATGAATAAGCAATGAGCAATTATGAAGTAACTTGTCCTGTTATCAAATACGGCTGCTGTCAGCACCTAAATAAGATAAAACCAAACAGAAAATACTTACATGGTTGAATATATAATATAAAATTACAATTAGCTCTAAAATATTACATTAAAACAAATCTGTTCTTAATAAGGACTATAATTGCTGCTAATGTACTATCAACCTAACAGCATTGAAACAAAGTATAGAAATGATGAATACTTCATTTGTTCATCCCCCTTTAAAAGTGCAGATATTTCAGGGTGCATTTCAGGACCTATCCATCCTACATAGCCTCCCCCTCCCCCCCCCCCCAACAAAAAATAAAAAATAAAATAAAATAAGATAAATAATAATAATAACATAAAAAAATACAGAACACCACTTTGTCTACAGCGGATAATTGTTGAGGGATAGTTGTCAAGTACTTGCAGATTCCTACAAGGGAGGGTGAACTCCACAGGGTAGTTGTATGGTAAATACTGATTCTACATGGATGACAGTCAAGTGAAATACAAGACTAGGAGATAAATGTCCTGGATAAATCAGGTAGCCTTCAGAAAAAAGTACATGTAGAACAGTCCATTTAAAAAGCCTAATCCTGCAACATTCATGTAATACATTACCTTTCTACAAACCATGAGCAGCAGCAAGCATATGATCTAAGTCCTTTTCTAAGACTGGTGAAGGTTCTGGGTCAACTGGACAAAACAATAATGAAGCAAAATTGTAATACCAGTATGATTTACAACCCAAAACTGAATCCAACTGAATACATGCATGCCAATAGGATGAAATCCAAGAAATAAACAGACAGCTTACACCAATTTTTTTTCTTTTCCATCGTATATGTGGAATTCAAATATCTTTCATACATATAGAGGATTTAGCATATTTGTAATAAACCTGCCCAATCACTGGCATGCTATTGGCTTAAAGAAAAGTACTTAAGAGTGGCACCTCATATTACTTCTTACAACTTTGTCTTAGAAGATTTAAACAATTAAAAAAGAGAATCATATTCTATCTCGTGCTTAAGAGCAATTTGGTATATATGATCTTGAAATTGCAAGTTTGCTTTTTAATAACAGCCTTCCAAGATTGCAAGTTTTGATACTAACCATTAAGCTTTTCAGCCTGAGCTGGTACAAATTGATTCTCAGTCATCCCAGCCATGAGACGATTCCCGATCTTTCCATCTATATTCAACGGTACTCCTCTCCCGAATGGTTCTGTGTCAGGACTAGGTACCTCTCCTACCTCTCCTGCTTCTCCAATCGCCCTCCCAACCACCGTCTTGATCCCTGGTGATTGTCCACCTTGTTCTTCATTGACATCCTGGATTACACTTGGAATGTCCAGGGGTTTGAAGCTTGTTGGTGACGTCGGAGACTCCACGTCGATGCTGTCGCTGTGAAGAAGTTTAGATTCATCCTTGGGGATTTCGATTTTTGTAATGCTTGCGCGGTGAGAGCCATGATGACCTAGGAACGGTATGGCTGATGTGGACTGGGCGTTGTTGAATAGGTCCTGTCCTTCAGATGCTGTTTGGTGTTGACTTGGCAGTACACTGGAAGCAGAGGCTGAAGATGATGCTGAAGATGATGATGATGATGATGGTGGTACTTCTTGAGTTGGTATTGATTCTCCTCCTGAATAAGTTTGAACTGGTATTGCTGATATTTGCTCTTCCTCTCCCCCATTTTGTTCTATACCACTCACATTGTCTCCTCCTTCTTGTGGTTTTCCGTCTTTACTGGCATTCTGGGGCTTTTGTCCACTTTTAGGTCTGCTTCCTAAGACCACGAGTGCCTCCTGAGCACTCTCAATGCCCATCAAAGGGTCCCTAGTGTCCCTCACCGCTTCCTTCCCGCTCACTTCATTCAATGTGGGATCCGACTGCCCTTCTGATGCATGATCATTTTCATTGTCTGTCTTTTCTGATTGTGCCGTTTGATTTGCATAAGCATTCTTCGCCCGTTCCTCCTCTTCTTTTTGTCGTTGTTCGAGGATTTTTCGATTCCGTGAAAGGTGGCTGCACATTTCAGAGAGTAAAGACTGTTGGAGTTCCTCATAGCCTTTGAGCTGCAATGAAAACAAAATGAAATTTAATACAAACTGCTGAAGATCCATGAGAAACATTATTGACAGACTTGTATGGTTGCAAGTATGAAATAAGAATCACTCCTGGGTAGGTATACATGTAGATACAAAATGTAAATCTTATTCCTACTAAATGTGGAATATGACACAAGGTACCAGGGGGTACCATATAATTAAGTGTTAAACAACTATTTTAGATCACATTAATCATGCCAAATTATGTGTAGTTTATGTAACATGTTAAATAGTACTACTAACATGCACACATAACAGCATAAATCTGAAGAAAATTAGCATGCCATTATACATTGGTTTGAGCTGTTTAAAAAGGCATAATAAATATACAAATTATTATATCCTTTTAGCACGACCCATATATACGTTTATGAAACTCCAGCCAGAATGAAACAAGAAAAGACAGGGGAAACTCACTGATTCTTTCTTGACATCTTTATCCAGGTCTAGTCTGAGAAGGATAGTGTTGACGTTTAACGAGAGTGATAGCGCCATCATGCCTCCAGTCCGTATATCATTCTCTCGTAGATCTAGTCTCATCAGATAACAGTTATCTGCTAGGTATTCAGCCAGGGCTACCGCACCTGTGAGAGGAATAAATCAACCAACCATCATTTACAGCTGTTCATTAAAGGTGAGATTGCTCATAATATAATGCATAAATCACCACCTTTGCAACAGAATGAGGAAGATTTTATATGACAGGAAAAGCTGGCATAGTAATGCTAAGAGAGGTAGATTGTAGGGCAATGTTATGTACACATACTCACGGGAATTATGTAGGTGATATATACAATAAATACCAAAACAAATGTACAATGTTAACACATGAAGAAATTAAAAATGTATATTGAAATAATTGCAATCTGTAGAGATAGGGCTGCATCTGGTTATCACATTCACAAGAGCCTGAAAGTTGTTCTGGGGGATGAACAAATATTTAAAGACTGTTTTATAATGGACCGCACAATAATATGAGCCTATAAAACATCATCAAACTGTATCTAATTCCAATTTTTGAGGGGGAACTTAAGCAGTCGGCTTCTACGACAGGATACTTTTATTTATTTCTGATATTTATACAGGGTAGCACATATCACCAATTTGGTGGTCTTCCATGAGGCCCTGTTTGGTAAGAATAAAACAAGTAACAGCATCAAAAACAAAATAGATAAATACACAAGCATATGCATTAGTATCCGCATGAAATAACTGAGAATCATCCTTGATCATTTACCAGAAATAGGTACAAGACTTTGATCATTACCAGTACACATTTGCGACAATAAAACTTGTGTGCCCTCATAGAATGTTTACCTTCATCTGATATCTTGCATGCATAAAGCCCAAGCCTCATCAGGGCTTTGTTCTTCATTAGACCATCCTTCAAGAAGTGGATTCCATCAGTTCCAAGGTTGTTCTGACCCAGATTCAGGGTTTCTAGATTGGTAGACTTTATCTGTTATGGAGAAAAGATGAAATTCACAGTAAATGTACATGTGCTCCAACATCTGCTCTGAAAACTTAATCATAATACTCTCATCCAATGTAGTTCTTTATTGTATTCATAATTGAATGCTCTTTCAATGGCATGTCAACGTACATGTATTACATTCATGAAATTTATGCCTTGTTTAATGAATGGCTTTTCCTAACAGGACTTTACAATCATACTCTAAGCAATTGCGTCACATACAAGCAGCAGCAACATCCATTATGCAAGAGAGTGTAGTGAAAAGCCTTTTGATGAAAATATGCATAGACTGGTTTGTATCCATGGAAACAAAACAATCAATATTTAATCATCACAATTTAATCAATTTTTTTCATCATGGTTGGCTACATTGTTGATCCTGCCTTCCTCTAATATTATACTCTTTCTTAATAATGCATTTCTTTTCTTTAATAATAATGTATTATTCTGTATATATTATTATCAAACCTCCCGGTTACAAGACCACTGCTCTACCACTGAGTCATCGTGCCTCCCTGAAATGAAATATTCACATCATACTTGAATGTGGTTTGAACAAGGGTATTCTTACCAGTGCTTTACCGAGGTGAGCTACACCATTATGAGTGATGTGGTTATTCCAGAGTACAAGAGTTGAGAGACCTCCCTTAGACTGGGCTGATAGACCATTGCTGATGTGAGAGAGACCTGCATCCTGTGTGATTAGAATATGGGAAAACAAATTATTCCTCTCAGTAATCTGATTGAAGAAAAGAAGGATTTATACTTTGTTGGAAGTCTAACAGTTGATACACATCTGTAATAATATCTCTATTGATCTGATTAGTCAGCTTTATGAGCCATCAAAATGCTAATCATGAGAGCTATGTTCTGATATCATTGACATATATAAAGACATGGAATGATTAAACAGAATGGAACAAGTTTCTATTCACATGATATGATTACAATGTTACGTGAAAAGTTGCATATGTGAGTAAAGCCATACAAAAGAAACCACAATAAGCAGTCTATTACTACACTAGTGAAAGTGAAAGTGATACAGGATACTATTTCACAGAAATGCAGCCAGCTTTTCAAGTTTTCAATCATGATTCATGACACAATGGAATATGTCAAAGAGAGAGAGAGAGAGAGAGAGAGGGGGGAGGGGGAGGGGGAGGAGGGGGAGATAAAGAGAGAGACACAGACAGATAGACAGACATAGAAAGATATAGAGAAAGAGAGACAGAGACGGACAGACAGAGACAGAAACGGACAGACAGAGACAGAGACGGACAGACAGACAGAGAGGGAGATAGAGACAGACAGAAAAAGAAAAGAGAAAGGGGGGGGGGGGGTAAGAAATTTTGAATACGGATTCACAACCCTCACCTGTATATTATTATTTCTAAGGTCCAAGAGTTTAAGACCAGAGTTGTGTCGTAACATTCCACCAATGTGGATTGCATCAGAGGGCATCAAACGATTGTCTGCCAGGAAAATCTCCCTCAAAGTTGAGTTTGTACGAAGAGCTGACACTGTTTACAAAAAGAATAAAAACAAACAAGTGGTTAATTTTAACCTGTTGAGAAAATGACATATCACTGAAGGTATTTATTGGAATATCTCATCAAGGGCTATCAAGGAAAGCCTTTTGATAACATCATGACCATTAAACTATTTTCAAGTCACAAGTATCTGCAAGTAAAATCAATGACTCTAAAGTCTTCAATCAACGTGTGAGTGTTAATAAAAAAGGATGCAAAAAAAGTTTGTGAATAAACGATATTTTGCAAGACGCTGAAACTGAATATAAACATACTACAACACTTCGACTCTTACATAGATGAATAAAAACATATCAGGGACTTTTTTAATGTGAAATAAGTGAAGATGTTTACTGAGTAGAAAGTGTGGTCTCCCAGAAAGGTTACAGGCTTCTAGGTGCAGTGCTGTGATAGAAGAATCTACTCGCATAGCCCTCGACATGGCTGGCATACTGTGCTCTGTCCAACAGGTGTTTCTTGCATCAAAAGTGTGCAGGCAGGGTGTCTAGATGGAAACAAGAAAATGATAAGGACAATCAACAGGAAAGAACATGCAGGGGTGAGGTATGAGGGTGTCAACTTTCTCATCTTAATTCTTGAAATGGTGTAGAGTGATGAAAACAGTACATATGCAATGTACACATTCACAATTTGATAACAAATTGTGGCTGGCAGGTTAACTTAAGCTAATACTCAAATATACATGTAAATATTTGATTTGTTTGTTGATGTTTATACTTTGACCTTGCACTATAATCACTGAATGCGGTCTACGGTATTAACCAGAGCATATGGTACATGTACAGGAAATATCATTGTGTGACACTACCCTACATAATAAGTGAGGGTAAAGGGCTTAATAATAAATTTGTGTTACGTCTCCATAGCATTTCCTATGGTTACGTTTAGTCTCAAGTTTTTTTTTCCAGGTATACATGTACAGTAGCTCTAAGCAGCCACTGGATAGATTGAAAGAAAGCTACTGCAATTTCATTCACATCACATAAACAAAAAGATGAGGATGCTGCACTAAGTGCACCTCTGAGACATTCATCATTCCAAATGAAAAACAAAAAATAATCCATGTCTTTCCTCAAGTGAAGGTGGAATTGAAAATTTAGGCTTGATTACAGGTAAGAGCTAGAAGTAGGTCCCCCCCCCCCCCTAATACTCAACTACATGTATAAGACGCACTCTTAGAGGCATCAAATTGATCACATCATCAAAAAGTGCAGAGAATTTATTATTATGCGCTATATAAAAATTACTTTATTATTATTATTATATCATAATATCATATTTGTTAATGTCATCTTTTCATACATATGTACCTCTACCAATAGCCTATGATAAAATCATGCTTTTTAGTGTTCAATTGAGTATTGACGTTTGTAGCCTTCTGGCATCTCATTCCAATTGTATACACTTTCATCCTCCTTTCCCCTAACCTCGATATCATTAAAGGTAGAATTGTCATTTTCGAAGGGACAATTCAAAGTTAGATATTAACATGGATCTTCTTTTATCATAGAGACTTTATGAAGAGAAATTCAGTATTTGAGATAATTCTAACAAATTTATGCTCTTAATGAACTTTGCAAATCCATGTCAAATCTTAAACAGGCTTGTCAATAAAAAAAATCTGCCATTTCTATGTTCCCTAATCGATTTGAAAATGTAAAAGTTCCAGTTTTAGATTCATTATTTAAATATATAAAGACAGGTTGGAAACAGGAGCAAAATTCATCATGGTACATGGACTGAGGGGGAATACTGTACTATCATTTAGGATGAAACATATCATTAATTATTCTCAGAACTCTCTCATATCATTTCAATTACAACTAGAAATGTCATATGATTGTTGAGATATTTATACTGCAGCCCAAATATTTGATTCATAATGAAAAAGAACATGAATAAGATTATTTTCCTTAAAACTGTCAAAGAACAGCAAACTTTTTCTTACATCTAAAGCAAAATTGACGAACCATTCTACTACTTCCACAACCACATGAAAACATGAAATAATAACAATATCACCTTTAAATAATATTGAATATCGTAATGGACTGACTTACCCGTCTGAGAAGCCTTGAGGCTGCCTGCCACCCTCTGAACCCGATGGATCTGTTGCTTGCGTAGATGAGCTTACAGGTAGACTGATAAAACTCGACCATTTCACACATTGCCATGGTAGCCTTTATGGTATTGAATAAGGGAGAGATGATGTGGGAACAAGTTAAAGATAGGTAGGAAGTCAAAGGGATATCTAATGATACTTGTCTGTATACCAAACCTTTCTCTTTAATTATATATTTTTTATTATTAAAGTAGAAAAACATCCCTTTCTCATAAGCAATTGCAACAAGTGCAAAATAAAAGTACTTTATAATCTTACACCTTTCATTTATATAGAAATGTGTCAAAAACAAAACTGCTGGAAATATCAAACAAATGTGATCAAAAGAAATGTAAAATAGTTCTTTTTAAACTTCTAATTCAATTCTAAAACAGATTATGGAATTCCATTCATTTCAAAACATGAAAATGATAAATTAGAATTGCACAGCCTGGAATTTGGATGCATAATCTATGACTGTTATCTTTGATAAAATTTACTTACATGTATACAATATCAAAATCTACAATAAAATAAACACTATAATGTGCATACCATATCTTTATCAAAGTCCAAATGACTCATTGAAACAATACCTTTAAAGCCATTTCATACCTACAGTACATGTAGATGTTTGCAAGATAAGACAAAACAAAAGTGAAAATGACCAAATATTAACCACTAAACATAATTATAAAAAAGGGGGAAAAAGGTAGTTCCTTTAGGCATAGACCGATGAACATGATTTGCCGCTGTAAACGAATATATAAAATCAAATTCAATTAAAAACCGTGTTAGTTTCTCATTTGGAAAGGATAACAGGCTCCCTACAGGGATGACATCCAAGCTCATATCCTGAAGGGCTGGGAAAGGGAAAACCCCGTTTCAATCCCCAGGTACAGCGGCTACGGCCAATGATTATCAGTTTCTTCCTCAGCTCATACCCTGGAGAACTCATCACCATACTCACCATTCCATAAGATCTTTAGATAAGTTTAATAAGTAATTTGTCACATCAAAATGTGTGTTTTTAACATCATATGAGATACATCGGATATCAATAATATAATTGTACCTCATCGTCCATTGATGTGCCTTCGACATCTATTGTGTTGAACTGAACCCTCTTGAATACCTCCTCTAAAGTCTCAACTACTTTCAGTTCCAGTTTCTCACCTGGGAAATCAATCACAAATTGTACAATTAAGGGTTGGATATCATCATTTTGTTATGAATTAAATGAATATCATAGCTGAAAGCACGTGTAATATAAGAACATTAATGAAAATTAGTCCAGTATTTAAGATAGAGATGGAGATATCTGACTGCACTGTGTCAGGTATATTAGTTTAGTTATGAATTTAATGGATATCATAGCTGAAATGGCATGTAACATAAGAACATTAATGAAATCTAGTTCAGTATTAAATAAAAACAAGAAAGAGATGGATATATCAGGCTGCACTGTGTCAGGTATATTAGTTTAGTTATGAATTTAATGGATAGCTGAAATGGCATGTAATATAAGAACATTAATGAAAATTAGTCCAGTATTAAATCAAAACAAGATAGAGATGGAGATATCAGGCTGCACTGTCAGGTATATTAGTTTAGTTATGAATTTAATGGATAGCTGAAATGGCATGTAATATAAGAACATTAATGAAAATTAGTCCAGTATTAAATCAAAACAAGATAGAGATGGAGATATCAGGCTGCACTGTCAGGTATACTAGTGAACTAAACAAGTCAAAAATTGAAAAGATAGTTAAAATCAAGTAGTGTCAAAAGTATGAATCAAATGTACAATACAATGTATTTTGACTTTGCTTTTACCAGCATTAAGCAGAGGTGGGGGGGGGGGGGGGGGGGTTGTATTAAACATTGTAGCCGTGCATATACACCAAATGGCCCGAAAAGAAGAGTAGTATTTCTGACAGAACCCAGATCGAGTTTAGGGGTCTGTTCTAGATAGAAATCACTGAAATTCAAGAAGGGCATTCATCATGATAAGATTTATTAGTGCTCACTTTACATGATTGGCTTATCAAAACATGAACTCGAGCCCCTGATTAATTTGAGAGAACCTGTTCTTTCAATGATAAATTCCGACATCTTCAACCATCTTGCCCTTTCGATGAGACTTTGCCCCACTCCTAAATGGGTGCATTTTAAGCCCATTCCTGAAAAGACTTGAGACGGGTTACTGTATATACATAGAGCTCTCTAGACAAATCAGTAACAAGTATTGGCAAGCATACATGTATATGCACAAACAGAAAATACCCTGGTAAAGGGTATATACTGACAGACAAAATCCAAGTTAAAGGAAGCTATTTTCAGCACTTGAGTCATATTCAAGCAGAAGAGTACTTTTTGATAGGGCTAGTACAAATACAAATATGATTACCTGGTACAATGTTGCACAATAAATGGTCTACTAGGGTGATGATTCATGCACTGCACACCTACATTTAGGTGACTTCAGATCTATAAAAATATCCAATACCTCTATCAAATTTGAAAACTCTCTCTCTTGAATTGTCTGAATGCATAATGTGGAAAATAACTACTGTAGAATACATTCAAGAAGGATAAGGATGTTTGCATGAAGGAGCAATGCTATTAAAGATCGAAAGCTTTTTATAAAACTGCATCCAAAATGCATAAGATAAGACATAAATGTTTAACTACTTCACTCTTTTTTAACATTGTAACTGCAGTTCCCATTCATCACTCATGTAGTAGGCCTAAACATGTATGACCAGGCTTCCTTTTTGAATTTTATTTTTTGAATTTTTTAAAAATATACTAAAATGTTATTTAAAGCAATTTCATTGCATGAATTGATTAAACCAGCTTCTTTACAAAAAACATTCATGATTAAAATGTTTAAATCACCATTCATATTGTACTTTTTGCAAACATTGTAACCCTGTATAAAAACCTATGTAATTTAATGTAAACAAGCTACATCCTAAATTACTTCTACCAATAAACATAGAATGGATTTTTAATGTTGGTTCTGGAGCTGTGTAATCTAATCATAAAATTGGATTCATGCAGGTGTATACAATTTGTGTCTGAGTGCTGAACTATTGATTGAAGAAAAGGAAGGCCAAAAATCTACTTGGTGAGCTTTAAAATCTCATACACGCGATCTTCACTGGCAAACTACAAAAGCATAGATTAATTGGGCCTGTGTCAGTCACATGTCATACAAGTAAATGGTACTTCAGCTCTTCTGATAGATGAATAAAATCTAATAGAAACATACATGCAATTATTTTTAAAATGTTTTCTTTTCCATTCCAGAAGATTAGTTTTTTCATCATGATTTTCGAATTTCTTGATGCTAAAAATATTATGATGAATTTAATTAACCTAATGATTAAAAAAAATTCAGGCATTTTCTCTTTAAATGCAATTTTACAGTGAGCAACAATAATACTTAAGGTACTGAAAATTATCATTCCGCTATTCAAGCAAATGTGGCCAAGAGAAAAATTACAGTTGGCTTGAAATGCTTGCCTGAAATATTGCCCTAAGGTAGCGAGCGAGTATTAATGCACCATCATGCATGCCCCTAACCTAGTGTCTGATCCCAACAGCATGGCATCATATGAGCAATCAATATTATATATATATATTGAATGGAAGAAAATTACCTTGAAGATTGAGACTCTCTGCTCGGACTGTGAAATCCTTCACCATCTTCAAGAAGAGAAGAGAAGAGAAGAGAATAGCATATGATTAAAGATCGTATCATACCAATTGATGTGTATTGGGTTAGTGTATCATGTAGCATTCCCAGATCACTGTTGTGCACTCTGATACATGTATGTACATGTTCGTTTACAAAAACAATCTAACTTCATGTATAAATTCTGTACATGAAGCTCTATCTTCGATGCTGCTAAAATACATATATATATGCAGATGTGCCAGTATACCTTTTCAATGTTTAAACAAAATCTTAAACAGGTGTAATATGGTTTTTATAATTACTCAGCTACAACAATCTACCTATCAGAAATTGAATTAGAATAAAGCTACATGTACATGTATCTTATACCTTATGAAAACATGACTAAAAGGGCATATTTTTCTCTCCAGCCAATGTTTTCAATGCAAAACCTGGTGTGCCTATTATTGAATCAATTTAATACCAACGGCACCACAGCTGCTTTAATCCTACATTCCTACATAATGCATGGTAAATATTGGCAGAATATTATTAATAAAGACCTGCCGAGCCATGGGATGACAGACTGTATCGTAAGGCAATAATGAAGGGCAGATCAGAATGTAGCATACAGTATGTGCCTCATTGGAATGTACTTTGTGATGTATAATACAACAGACAATGGATCTACTTTTCATGTAAAGCAAATAATTTGCATTTATGATACTTGAACATTAATAACCCTTCAAGCTTAGAGCCATTTTGCACTCTGAATATTTCCTGTTCATATAAAGGTATGTAGTGGTAAATATCTATCACTCTCAACAACTTCCCTTTTACACAAGTAGATGTTTGGGTCCATGAAAAATTTGACAATGCCTGTGCAACAACAAAAAGCCTGTACGTGCATGCACCTGGCAATAGGTGGTTCCCTATGGATAATCCCCATTACGTGACTATGACAAAACAAGGGGAAGTATTGAAGCAGCATGATTTACCTGGAGTTGACGAATGATACTTGGACTTGGTTTGACTTTCATCTGAGCACACCCAGCTTGATATGCAGCACAAAGCTCATCAGTGCAGGTTTCCTTTGCTATATATGGAGTTGTTAAAGAATATGATAGAAAGAGAGGGAAATTGAGGATTAGGGGCCGTAGGGGGAGGGAGAAAAGTGAAAAGAAGGGAGAAAAAGAGTGACAGAATAGCAAAATTAATAACAAAAGAGAATATTAAAAACAAGAGGTAAAATTTTGATAAATCATATCTAGGCTGAGGAAAGATGGTATCAAAAAAAAGTATACATATACAGAATATTCTGCATTATAAAAAGGCTGTGTGCAGATCCTAATCAAGACATTTGCTAATAGGTACTCATGTGTTATGACCTATAATGTATAAGAGCAATATCAAGTGTAATCATAATAATACTATTACTGGCATAGACTGTGGTTCCCATAAGTTAATTTGACAGTGAGCTACATATACATGTAGCACAAAACATGCAATCAGGCAATGGTACTACTAGTATCCCATTAAATTTTACCAGATGCAGAGACCAACAATGCTGGATATATAATGTACAGTACACATTCACGGTGTACAATGTGCATGAAATTTTTGCTTTTGCAGCATACATGTACAGGTGTACATGTCATCTGTTAGGAGCCAAAAGGGCTTAGTTTAAGTCATATACTTTAACACAAAGCTAACGCCTCTTTGGCTTCAAACAGAAGGATGTACATCTACTTGTACATGTATAGTACATTGTACATGTTCATCCAAGGGTGAAGACAGATATGTTTGCCTTTAGATGTATGAGCAGAATTTTAAAAAAGAACATAGGGTTATGGCCGGCAGGCAGAAAAGTACCCATAGAATTCCATCACATATCATGTACAAAATGTTTATCTACTACCCCTACATCATGTAGGCTACAAACATGTAGGTAGAGTGTACGGTACAGAATTATAATTATCTTTCTTCAATTACATTCATCTCATTAATAAGTCCTGCTTTATCATGAATTTAATTCAACTTATGAACAACATTTCAATAGCAATGAAACACCAGCTGTTTTTAATTATGATAAACAAAGCCAAGAATTGACATACATGTATCCTTGAATTTGGGGCTATAAATTGTACATTGTACTAATCATACTCAATTATTATGAAGGCCAAGTTTACCCCATAGTTAATTATATGCTCACTAAAAATGATACTTGAGGGAACAAGTCATCATTATATTTAATATTTAACTTATTTATGCACAACTACATGTATATCCCATGGCATCGATAAGCACAGATCTTGATAAAAAATTAATATCCACAAATAATGTCAAGTGGAAAGGCTAGAGTCAAACTAGATAGACCATAGCTTCACAGATGATAGGTTTCATGACAAGAGAGTTCCATCATTCCTCAATTACAGGTGAAGCTATATAGCTTTACCAGGCAAGGCACCGAGGTACATGTATGCACAAGACCCACAGTATGTCAAACCATTAATTCTCTCAGGAGTCACGGATGCAGAGAGCAGCTGACTCGGCTCACTGGCTGGCTGGCTGGCTGGCTGGCTATATGTTTATTACACAGCCTGTATGTGATCAGGTGATTGCCTGTATGTATCTGGGCAAGGGATGGTTTTTAGCCTTCATGTGATAAAGAGTAGCTTGATTGGAGTACATCTTTATTGACCTGCAGCCACATTCTACCTGGGGAAATCTTCTACATCAACATACAATACACCAAATCACAGCTCTCGATCTCTAGCCCAGGTCAATGAGGGGAAAAAGGCAGCTTGGGGCAGGATTATATGTGCAGTTTAACCTCTGCAAGACTCATCTACCATGTAGATACATGACGTGGTGAACAACCTAGAAAAATACAGTGGCAGAATAAGATGATAGCTAGTGCACCTCACATTTCTGCATCTTTCAATGCCACATACATTACATGCATCACAGTTTTATTTTGCCATGGAATTTTCTAAGATGGTTTACTGCATGAGGGAATGACGAATGAGGCTTCAGAAGCCCTTGTATTTTTAAAATTTAACAGATTAGTAAGAACCCCCCCCCCCCCCAAAAAAAAAAAAAATGTTATAAATGGTTGCTCCAAACAGTATACTGGTAAAATTTAACAGATTAGTAAGAACCCCCCCCCCCCCCCCAAAAAAAAAAAAAAAAAAAAATTATTAATGGTTGCTCCAAACAGTATACTGGTGTATCGCTTAGTATCAGTAATCCCAAATAACTCTTACACATTTATAAGAAGTAAAAAGTAGATAAATCTTAGTAGCTGGCATTATCGTAAACTTCCTACAACTACAAGACTTTAGTGCTCGCGACAGATGATCTCTGAAATTAGACGTTAACAGTAGGGGCACCGCCTGAGAGCGGCATGAGGGGCGTCACAACGCCAATTCAACATTTTTTTTGTCAGGCAAGTTTTTCATTTTTTATAGGTAATCACAAAGACAGCAAATCTTAAAAACTGATGAGTTTTAGTAGAAGAAAAAAAAGAAGAAAAAGTGGACAATTAACCCTGTAAACGATCATCGGATCGGACGCCGATACCGATCCGATCAGGGGTGATCGGATAATAATTTCCGATCGCCGATCAATTAAAATGATCGGAAAAAAAATCAATAGATTTTTTTTTTCTGATCCGATACCGATCAAAGGTGCGAGGGTGTCGCTCCGATCTTCCGATCCGATCAGAGCCCCAACTTACAGGGTTATGGACAATTCAACAATTTGTGGACCTTTTTTTCTTTTTAATTGTTTGAAATTTAGTTAGCTAGATGTACTTTGTCTGCAAAAGTGCAAATTGGGTCTGATTAAGTCAAAATGGTCTAGCAACGCCCCTGATTAAGAGAAACTGTATGTACTGAAGACAGTGCGGCTTATTCAAAGGTACCGGTACGTATCTCTATGGGCTAATCAGGCATCTTGAATACCTAATCAGAACATGGTCACTGACATGAGATTTCCCTACACTCACACACAAAAAAAAGAAAAAAAGAAGAGAGGAAATAGAGAATACATTCCAGCTCTGGGATGATCACTCCTGATGATGATTCCTACATCACAATACCCAAGGGAAATATGTGTCTGTATCTAAATCTTTTCGAAATTAGTTCTTCGGAATATATATGGCTCCTCCGTAAAATGTGTAATACAAGTTATATTTTGCTCCAACATACATACTGTACAGACCTCTCCCTAAAATTTGTCTAGATTCAGTAGGTGGTGAGTCATGGTGTTAAGCAAGATATAACTAATGGTACAATCGCTTTCTCAGATATTCAGACTACATGTATATTGTACCTGCTGCCTTCCATGTACATTTTATGCAAAGCCATTTACCTGGTAGTCATAGACTGTGTTGTTGTTTCAAGGATTTTAATTTTGTCTAAAATTTTCAGGGTGAGACGAATCAGACAATATTTTATTATTTTACCATTTCTAGTCCCATACATGCAAATTCGTGCTGGTTTTGACTTTCGTTTTTTTTAGTTTTTTTTTTACTCTTTCGTCGTAAAGGCCGCACCCCGACTTTTTGATATTTTCTCTTAAAAAAATACTGCGGCCTTTACGCCGGCAAATACGGTATACTGTATGCACATCAATGTACAACATGTACATGTACACATACATGTATATCTACATTGTAGCAAGAAATTCAAACATGTAGGCCTTCAATGTATATTGTACATGTAGCCCTGTACATAAAGATGCATGTCCAGTATATGAGCACATACAATACCGGTATATATTATATATGTAGCAAAATTGCATGAACTGCAATGTTTTCATTAGTTTTCACAGCTGAAATCTTGTTTGCATCCGAAATACTAAACTGTGTACTTTAGACTGACCAACTGAAGTTATGAAGTATTTCCCACCAATTTTATATATTTTGGACGGATTGCACTCTTTTTGTGATCCCATGTGGTTTCCTTACAGTATGCGCCCGTGAGGATTCTTTGGGTGATGTACATGCATACGTATAAGCATATTGCTGTTACAGACTTACAGTGTTAAAACTATAAGGCCTAGCCTTCACAAATTGGTATTGCAAAAGGTGAAAGCTTCAGTTTCGGATTCACATGTATATTGTAATCTGACTTCTGGTAATTGAAATATCCAAAATGCAAATTGACGAATTGAAATGCAAAAGGTGAAAGCTTCAGTTTCGGATTTACATATATTGTAATCTGACTTCTGGTAATTGAAATATCCAAGTTTACACAAATTGCTCCAGTCTACAGTAATATGTAAATGATCTGCCCAAAACCTGATTTTACAGAATATGAGATCAATAGAAGCAATTAGCAAAATGAAATCAGGGGTACTCTTTACCATCATTTAAGTGCCTTCTGTGCATAACGTAGGCATCATGTACTGTACATGCATATTGCCACTTGCATTTTCATATTTTATTGGTCCAAAAACAAATATTTATTTTGAATGTGCACTTACTACAAATGTACACGAGCTCAATTCCCTCTGTTTCCAGAACTCAAGTTTTGTTATTCTCATCTTTAAAAAATGGTGTGTATTACACTTTAAAAATAGAAAATTTCATTCTTAGATTAATATAATGAGACGACAAAGAAGATTTGAAAGGAGTTTACGATGAGGTATACAAATGATGACATTACTCGGTTTACTGACAGCTTAGTATACAGGGACTGATATATGATCCACTCAGTCAAACCCATTAGGTTAAGGTGGTTACATCACTTGATCTGTCACATCGTATCAGGTAACTGCTTGTGTATGTAAATTCAGTTACTTTAAACCATGTTTCTGGCTCTCTCTCTCTCGCTCACCATTTCCAGGCTGCAGCATTTTGAGGTCATCACAACGAATTCGGTATTGCATTAATAGTGTATGGCTAAAAAGTTGTGTCACATATTTTATCACAATACATCTTGCATTTTTTAGGATGTACACTGTAGGTGAATAAAGACCAAGAAAGACGCTCTCACTGCTCTTCATGGTTCCTTGGTCAGGAGTCCTAAGTTTCATGTTGTATTACATGTGTAAAAGATTTATCAGCAATACATGCAGATTTATCAAGCACCTACAGTGTACATGACATGTATTCCACCAATCAAACAGGCTCAACTAAAGAGTATGCCTACTTATTTTCATCATCATTGTACTTTTTTTTTAAATCCCATCTTCACCTCTGAAAAGTGAAATCCAATTTCACTTTTAAATACTCATTTTATCACTGAATTGACAATGTTGAATAATCAAATCTAAGGAGAGAAAATAATTTTAGCAATTAGTCATCTTATACCTTTTTTGTTTTATTTTCACTTTTTTCAATCATACATTCATCCAAATATAATCATTGCAAATATCTTACAACCCATGTACACTGTACATGTATTGAAACAAATCTATTCCATTATGAATTAAGAAAATGAGACTTTTAATGGAATTTTGTGTACAGAGCAAATTAGAGAGGAGTTCCTATATTTAATTGGATACCACTAATGGAAATAGGAACCCAAAATTACCTAGAGATGAGATTTTCTATGGAATCAAGTGGGAAAATATTGACAAAAGATCAGCAAATTTTGCATCCGTTCTGAAAAAATATGAACTTACCGGCAAGGGTCTGGAAATCTTTATTTTGAGAGCAGATGTAATCAAAATTTTAAGAAAAAGTAGTATCAACTGATTGTATATTTTGCAATTATCTAATATTCAATTGATCACGTTTTGTGATAAATAAGCTGTAAACTCCAGTGCGCAGATTAAGGTCTCATTGAGTTGCAGGGCATTTCGATCTGACATCGAATTTTGAGATCGCGATATCTCTCTAATTGTTTGACAATAAATTTTACAATTTGTAATTTTGTAGTCAAACTTCGCAGTACATTTGATTTGGTAATAATTGAACTAAATAAATTTGTGAAGAATATGAGAAATCATAGATTGAATATCACAATTCCATATACTTATGTTAAAGATGAAGTTGAGTTCTGGTCATGCGATTGCATTGTGAAAGAAATGGTGTGGAATCGACCAGAAAAGGTTGATCATCTAGCATACAAGAATTTGTGTGTATTGCAAACGTGAATGTATTCCTGTTGTATTCAAAGACATGTATCTGAATACAACCAACCACTTATTCTGTATGAAAATTAGTGGTTTGAATACACATGATTGTATTCAAACCACTTGTAATAGTATTCCTTTGTATTCCTATAAGCCGAAATATGTAAATGAGGAATACAAACAAGTATTCAAACCGCTAGTATGCAAATTAAAAGACGAATACTAGCTACAAATTAGTATTCGAACCACATATTTAGTATTCCTGTCGGCTCAAATTATTCGAACCACTTTGTTAGTATTCCTTTGTATTCCTATAGGCCGAAATATTTAAATGAGGAATACAAACAAGTATTCGTACTACTAGTATGCAAATTAGAAGATGAATACTAGCTACAAATTAGTATTCTGACCACTTGTCATCTGAAATATGCAATGCTGGAATTAGTATTCCGACCAACACCAAAATCCCACAATGCAGCAGAATTATACCCCAATAATAATCACCTCATACAACATACAAATTGCAGTGTAGACCCTACATAACATACCAAATAACAGTCATCAACTACAGTACGTGTATATTTCTGCTGTATTTTTAAATTGACATACAGGCCTACACTGTTTCACCCGAAGTACTAGGATGTTCATGCTAGATATTAACTCTTATTTCAGTGCGTGCTGTTTAGCAGTTTTAATAGTGCTTTCTGAAAACAAACTGGGGTCAAAATCTGCGATATTACTTGATATTAATTAGCCCATGTTCATACTACAAATGTATATTGTATCATGACTTATATAGCACACTTTATACAACTTCACAATGTAGGTACAAATGCATAAAAATACATCAAGTCTATAGACAATTATACCCCCTTGTGTAATATTGGTCCTATACATGTTGACAACTGGTCCTGGACCAGCTTTGAGGGAATAGACCTTCGATCCTGTACGTGACTCAACCAAAAGGAATGAAGTTACCACGGACCACTGTTTCAGTATTTGGTCTACCAGTATCATCATGCACATACTCAAAAGTTAGACATTTCTAGACTTAGATCCAGGGTCCACATGTAGAAATTGGACTTAGGCCTATAGATCTATTATCTAGATCTACTTAGGCTACTTGTATAATTATGTTAAACACATCCTAACTGAGTCCAATTCGAAACATTATAGGCTAGACTAGATCTATGTCTTAGGTAATTAACCTGTTAGGTCTAGAGTCTAGACCTAGTCCTTTTAGACTAGGACATAGAGTCTAATCTAGTTTTCACTCCACAATCAGATCAATCAAGTCCAGCAATTAGTCCTGGATCTACTTGCATGGTCCACTCATTTCTAATCACAACGTGACGCGCTCTGAGCGGCTCAGTTCCAAAACCAAAACCAAACTGCAGTGCTATACTGTTCTGGTCCTGGTCAAGCCTCTAGGCTCTCGTCCTGGTGATCTAGGCTCTGGTCATGGCGAGCCTCTAGGCTCTGCATGGTTCTGCCTCGATCTGCATCAGTTCTGGTCCTGAATGTAACTGTAGGGCTCGATCTGACAGTCAATACATTGTGTGCCCGTCGGTCATACTCCTAATGCCCCACATAATACAGTCCACAGGTGACACATGCAGATTTACTCAACTGGCTGTGATTGTCAGCAGTTCAAAAACGTTGCTTGAATCCAAGGTATGCAAGATTTTTGCTGGCTCAATGTAATTTGCAGTTTAATAGTAATAAATATGGCAATCCTTTTGACCGCTGCCACCATGTTAAATGATCAGATCTACAGATCAATAAGATCATTGCTGGAGACACTGTTCATGTATAAGTGGCCATCTTGGAAGTGCTTTATTCTGGTATTCCTCCGCCAATCACAGCCTCATTACGCACATCAATGAACTATTGGTGTTGTTAATATAGTACCACAACAAACATCAGATTTTTAGTATTCAAATTGGAGGAATACTAATAATCAAAGACTCAATTCTACTAGTATTCAAACCAACTGCAGGTTTTGAATATTAGTATTTTCATGGAAAATGTTTGTATATTCAGAATACTAATGATCGAAGACTAAAATTCCTTTGTATGGATTTTAGTATTCGAACCACAACAATTTGAATACTTAAATTGATTTTAGTGGTTGTGACAATCAGATTTTTAGTATTCAATTTGGAGGAATACTTATAATCAAAGACTCAATTCTACTAGTATTCAAACCAACCAGTTTTGAATACTAGTACATTCAGAATACTAATAATCGAAGACTAACATTCCTTATAATGGATTTTAGTATTCAAAGCACAACAATTGGAATACTTAAATTGATTTTAGTGGTTCTGACAATGAGATTTTTAGTATTCAAATTGGAGGAATACATGCAACCACTAAAATACCACTTATTTTGTATTCTGAATATTAAGCGAATATATTCAGAAGACTTATTTTGTATTCCTGTTTGGTAAGGGAGGTTCTGGAATCATCAAAATGATAAGAAATTTGGCCAAGTCTTGGTAAAGTTACAAAAACTGGACACAGAAAGATGTATATGGGACTACATGAACACGTGGCATAAAAATCCTACCCCCCCCCCCCCAAGTTTTACGATGTTACATGACATATTTAGAATATGAAGGCATTTGAAGGACCCTGCCTTTCAGGGAACATGTCTTATCTGATGTTCTTCCACACTTGCATAATAAGAATGATTATGCTCACAAATTATTTTTCACCTCTTCCCAGAACTCAACCTTCTCTTTAATCTCCGCGAACTTTGATCACCCCATCATACAAAAGATAGTCAGTAGTTTGATGATAACAAATTCCTACTTGAATATATATAAATAAACTGACAAAACTGTAGAAAATATAGATTTAAATAAGATGTAGACAAGCTCAATGATCAATCTATTAAATGTTCTGTCATAACAAAAATAAATTAAAGTTGTTTAGTTAGTAGAACATCATGCACTCTTGTGACATGACTAACATTTATACATGACTCATGAACCTATCTCATTCTCACCATTAATCCACGGATTGGGTGGCTCATACTCGCTCATAACGAGACTCCCTTCAGGAAATCGGACCCTCCTTCCTGAGCCTTTTTTCCCCGCCTTCGGACTCGCAGTCGTTCCATCTGGCTCCGTTCCTGAACCTTGTCTACTATCTGACTGACTTGCGTCTTCCCCGACAGTCTTCTCGCAGGAGCTGCTCCCAGCTAGATCCACCCTTGCCGGAGGCATTTCTGTTTCAGACTCTGATAAAGGGTGTTCACCAGTGTGTCTTGGCGAAACACTACTGCTCTCTTCTTGGATTACTTCGATGGGGAGTGGTACTGGTATCCCTGTCTGTGTGTCACAACCCCCTGCTAATTCCTCAGAAGACACAGTATTGTCCATTTTATAATAAGATTGAGTCTAATTTTACTGGGCAACTGGCCACTGTCCAGAGCAGACTCAATAGTTATTATTTTTCCTCCAGTCCAAACATCCAACCTTTATTTGGAATGTTGGCTATTGCTCTGCTCCGCAATTCTTTACCAGGCTTAGCTTGCCCGACTGAACAACCACGGCCACGAAAGACAAAGTCAATTCTCAACTCATACTCATACTCAGTCATCGATTAGAAACAGCTGTAGATCTAGTGTAGGCGACTAACGGCATAATTGCGATTATGCAATGTCCAATTTAGAACAAACTGTTAACAGTTAAGTTGATCGTAATCATCTACTCTTCTTCAGTTTACTTCTCCACCGTGAATCTTCGTCCCGCGATCTTCAGTCCGACGTGATCTTCCAAATCTTGTGATGAAAATGATAATATAATGAAAGGGTTTTCCCGCATTTGTCTTTAACCTAGCTTTTTTCATCCTTCCAAATTTTCTTCTAGGGGAATAACATTGGAATCTGTATTGTAACGACTGCAAAAGTTTTCAAGACTAGGCAATATTTCGCTGGGCTGGAGATTGTACGAAGACGCTATCTAAAGTTGTTCTCGATTCGGAGCCAGTAAATAGTGTCGACCATCTAAAACGTGTGGCGCGATTTGAGGAAGGGATTTTTAGATTTATCAGGATCCGTAGTTATTGTAGCGGACGTGGTGACCGCTGTACCCCGAAACTCTGGTGCTGCTAGCTCAGATCATACGCGTACTTATTGCAGGTGAACTGCTGACGAGCAACCAGTGTCCAGTTATTATCCGAGTGAAAGTGAAGCCAGGTCAAGAATATTAAAATCAAGACAAGATCAAGGAAGTCGTGGTAAAGTGACGTAATTAATGAGTCCTTAGTTTTAGCTTTAAATTTTTATGATAGGGTCTAATTGGGATGAAAATTTAGTCATTTGTAATTTATTGCAGTAGACCCTAGGCCTAGATCTAGATCTAGATCTAGGGTCTAACGTTAGACTCTAGAAATCAACTCCAAAAAATAGGCTAGCTAGATCAGTTTATTAGAAGTTAAACTAGAAGAACTTAGATTTAGAAGCAGAAAAATCAGACAAACCAATCAAAAAAGGTTTGAGCAAAATCGGATATTTATTAAGAAAGATGTGAATTTTTGAAAAAGTAGAATAGATCTAGATCTAGTCTAGACCTAACAAGTTAGATCTAGATCTTCTTCTTCTTCTTCTTCTTCCAGTATAGTACAGTCCGCCGTTGGCGTATTATCGTACCTTGTGTTTGTCAAGTGCCGAGTGTACAGTGCAAGTAAAAAGGTTCTACAACAGTACAAGTACAAGAATTCTATGTGCAGCTAAAAACAGTCTGAAGCTCAACGGAGCTTGATGTGTTGCATCTTCTGCTTGAAAAGTTCCAAAGAGGTGCAATCGACGACAGCAGATGGTAAGGAGTTCCACAGTCGGATAGTATCTGGGTAGAATGTGGTTTGGAATAGCAGAGTTTGGGCAAAGGGGACATGGAATTTCTGTGGATTTCCACGGGTGCTGGGACCAACAACGGGTATGAAGTAGGTGACTGGAAGATCAACCAGGCCATGGAGTATGCTGTAAACCATGCCTACTTTCTGCTGAGCCCTTCTTTCCTGCAGACTTACCCATTTAAGTTGTAGATCTAGAGTAGGCGACTAACGGCATAATTGCGATTATGCAATGTCCAATTTAGAACAAACTGTTAACAGTTAAGTTTGGATCTATACTAGAAATGAAGTAAATATTCATCAAATGTCCAAGTAAAGGTCTTGATTTAAATTAAAAGTCATTAGACTATGTGTGTTAGGCCATGTAAAATTGATTACATGTTGATCGTCCGGATTTTTTGAAAAAGAGGAGGGTGTACCATGTTATTTGATATTTGATATTTCAAAATGGCCGCTCAAAATGGCCGCTCGGTACATTTTCCCTGACAGTCGAGCCTATTTTTTGTCAAGATGGCCGCCGACAATTTTTTTTTTTTTTAATCAGAAATAGAGCCATTTTAGCAGTGTTTTTCATGTTTTTTTTCTTTCAAAAAAAAAAAAAAATCAAAAAAAAATTCAAAAAAAAATTTCAAAAAAAATAAAAATAACAAATAACAAATAACAAAAAATAGGAGGCGGCCCCCAAAAAGGAAGCGGGCGGGGACGATCAACATGAAATCAATTTTACATGGCCTTACCTGTTTCGTGTCAATTTTCTTATCTTTTTCAGAGTATATTTCCTGAAAAAAAACGAAGACTTAGTCTATATAATATGCACTTTATCACAGGATTCATGACAAACTGCAGCACAATACAATGAGCCAGTTCACGGTTGCAGTCTGAGCATGAGCAGATAAATATTGCAGAACAAATTATGAAATACGTGGAGACGAAATACTGGATATGTGCTCATGAAAGTTATGAAGATCTAATCATTATTCATTCATGCACAAACAATGCACTCCATGATACACAGGTGGAAGTATTCTTTAATTATTTCAAAATGTACAAAGTGGGTCTGTGGATATTCGGGGTTTTAGCAGTAATGTGCTATCCGTCTACCGTCTACATGTCCGTCTATGCTGGTACTCGTCAAAAGCCTTTTCAGCAACTAAACGATGTGGTATGGTGTCTCTCATAGTGATGATTGATTAGTGCATAGACCGTGAACTGGTCTATTGCGTACCGTACCGACAGTGGGGTGTGGGCGCGCGTGTGTTCAGTTAACGACCGTAAACTAAGATTACAGTCACTAACTTAACACATGCGCGCGCCCGCACCCGACCGACGGTACGGTATGTAATTATATTGTGCTAACACTGTAGTAGTAGTAGTAGTAGTATTTCTAATTTAAAGAGACTAGGTTATGATGGAGGCTTCAGAGGGTAAAAAGGGAAATATTAGAATCATGTGACTGTACTTTTCCCTTGCTTTTTTAATATATTTTTCACAGAAGTGAGATAGTCTACTGTGATATTCAATGTTGCCTTTAATCTTACCATCTCACTGTAATTATTTCATCTAAACAGAGTCAACATACACAACTTTGATGAAATAGTTTCAACTTCTTTGTGGATAGATTCATCTTCTTGTAAACTGCTCCAGAAATATGCCTCCCAAAGGTAATTTTCTATGAACTAATTCTTTAAATATGGGAGGAGCCTTTAAGACTCACCCACATTTGTATGATTGTATCTGTTTTTTAGTCATTCAGTTTCATAGCATTTCAAATTTTTTTAAAATAGTGATTTATTATTTTGATGCATATATCTTTATAAATATGGTATTCATTTGTAACGTTAAACTCATAGCTTCTTTGTAGTACATACATGTACTTTCAAACAATCATTAACCCCTAAAACCAACCTTTCATTTCATATTGAGGTTACCTTTACCAGGAATTACACATATGTTTTTACATGATGGAATCCTGAAAGCTTTACCTACGATTCAGTATCCCTTAATATGAAAAGTATTACTGTAACTTCAGTCAAAAAAGCTTAGGATTTAATCAAACGATGTTTCATTATAATTTCTGTGTAAAGGCCGTAAGAAAGCGTACAAGCTACCCGATCCTCTCCCAGAGGGCGATGTCTTGCAAGATGTCCGTAAAAAGGAATGGAGGCTCGGGAAACCCATCGGACAAGGAGGTTTTGGGATGATTTACAAAGGTAAGCTCAGTTGAAAGGGGACCTGTTAACAAAAAAAACCAATGACAGGTTTTTTTGAAGGATAATGGTTTCTCTCATGCCATTATTATATAAAATATTGGCTTCAAATATTACTTCTGTAAAGAGCCATTGCAAGCTTAAATAAACTAAATGAAGATAAAAGCTACAATTGAGTAGAGTAGTTGTTGCACCCAAAATTATTGTTTGAGATATCCAAATTTATGCCCAAATTTATGCTCAATGATCAATCGAACTTAATTTTAAGAAAGTTTCCAGTTACAAATTTCCAGTTGCAGATTATTGATTGATTAATCACTTACCGGTATTAAAGTACTTTTCCTTTAAGGTAGTATATTTGTGCATTGCAAAGTAACACAGGCTTTTTGCACTCTTTTGAAAGATGAATCTAAGTCTACATTTAACCAACATAGAATTGTTAAACATTTCCTACAATGTCAATATCCTAACATCTATGTTTGAATGAATTTAGGATCTTCTTCAGGAAAAAAAAGATTAACATGTTCAGTAAATGATAATTTTATATGAGTATGAAGTATATTATTTATCTCCCATTAGTCCTATGGTTGTTTCATTATTCCTTCTTCATTTGTCTATTTTTTCGTCAACCACCACAAGACTATTTTATTCTTATGTGGGTGTAATGTGATATCTGTAATATCGTGTTATTTTGTTGTCCTGGCAGCTTCTGAAAATACTTCTGGCAAGACCAAGAGTGATGGAACTTATGTGATTAAAATTGTAAGTAAATGGTTTTATACATATATATATATTAATATTTAAAACTGTTTTGTTATTATGTACAAAGTAGGTTAACACAAAATTGAGTTGATGAAATTCAGCTGTGTGCTTAAAAATGAAAAGAGGCTTATCAAACTGAATATACCAGTATATTTTTATTTCAATGCATTGAAGCTGTACATTAAATTTAAAGTTTAAAGCCTAATTTATATTTGTTAGATGAATTAGTAACTGAAATATAATCAAAGTCAATGGGGCATTAGGTAAAATGAAATGAAATTTATGTGGTGAAGAAAACAAGAGCTTTTTTTTTTTCTTCAGAGAAATCATGATGTTGCCAGATTTAATTTGATTGATCACATATCTAAATTCATTGACATTTTTAAAATCAGATTTCCCTCAAAAAACATACTCCAATCACGTCCTGTCTTTTCTCTTTTCATTAAAGGTTCACCTGTGAAAAGGGAACTGTCAAGTCACGTACTGCTTACAGTTTTGATTTGTATTTACCTGTAGTACTAGTAATGAATGTCTTGTCATTTATATTACATGCAGGAGCCACATGAAAATGGACCTCTGTATACAGAACTACATTTCTATCAGCGAGCTGCCCAAGTAGACCAAGGTAGTCACCCTGCTATGTCAGGCAAATCCTGATTTGATAAAGTGTATAGGGCTATGCAAGATACTTTCTGGCAGACCCCCTTTTTGGGTGGTGTGTGCATGAGCGTACTTCATATAAAACAAACATTGGTTTTTATATTCCTAAAAGATTTGTGGATTTCAGTCATTGATTGCTATTGATGAAAGATTAAAGAAGTTGCTTTTCTCAAACTTCATTTTATATATGAAATCATAAATTCGATTTGTAAACAGGTCTATCTAAAAGAATTCAGGGTAAAATCTCACTAGATTATCACATAGATTATCTTGGATATAATTTCTTTACAAACAGTTTTTGTCAGCATCATATTCTGAATTTTTTTTTTGTAATCAAGTAAGAAAAGAATTGATAACAAAACTATTCCTTGTACTCAATTTTGCTACATATGCACCCTCATTTCTCCAAACAGTCGCAAAGTGGCAGAAAGAACACAAACTATCCCACCTGGGTGTGCCTAAGCTGTTTGGGTTTGGCAGTCATGATAGTGATGGAACCAAGTACAGGTTCCTGGTTATGCCTCTGTTTGGTGAAGACATCTGGAAGAAGTATCTGGCATGCAACAAGAAATTCACCCCAGGGCTGGTCTTTGCCCTGGCAATTCAAATTGTAAGTCATATTTGAAGCACCTTTATTTTATTTTATTGTTTTATTTGTTATTATTGTTCCTGCTGTGTTTTGTTATGGTTAAGTTTGCTACAGTGATTTGCTTTGTATAGATAAACAGAAGGAGGCAGGATGGTTCATTGGTAGAGTAGTGGTCTCGTAGACAGGAGAACCTGGGTTCGAAACCAAGTCGATGCACTAGTGCCCTTTGGTAAGTCATTAATCCTAATTACCAAGTCCCCTGGAGAGGACTTGAAGCCATCACCTGCAAAACAACCATACAACAAACATACAACAACAAAAAATCTATCAATGTTATTTATTAGGTATTTGGACTTCTCGTATTTGATAAAGAAAGACATTAGACATACTTACTGTGGAGTCAATATAGTTGGACAGTTGAAGGAGCAATTGATGAATTTTAATGTAAGATCAAGGAGAGCATTTAATATAAACTCTTCAGCTTGATGGGAGCTTTCCAATTTCCAGCATTCAATTTCTCTAGACTCTTGTACAAGTTTTTTTGCTAGTAAATAAATCGAAACAATCTTATTCTGATGAGTTTTTTTGTGTGTGTCTACATGTATGTTAGTGTAAATTCATTTTGGATATTTTTATATCATTTCCTGTTTTCACAACTTGTAGCTGGATTCCTTGGAGTACCTCCATGAAATGAATTATGTTCATGCCGACATCAAGAGTGCCAATCTGCTGCTTGGTTTCTCACCCAAAGATAAGAATAAGGTAAAAATGTCTGAAGAAAAGAATGAATACTGTGTAAATTAATATCAATGAAGTCCATATTCTTTATGTGCATGACAGGGATTGTATTTATTAGTATCTTTTTTGTGTGTGTTATTATGCAGTATTAGAAAAGTAAATTGATCAGATAAATTGGATTGTTGAGTTGCCAAACATATTACTGGATGATGTGTAAGTGCTTGCAAGAGCCTTAACAAAAGTCCTATGACTTTTAAGTACTCATTGATAGTGAGGTGATAAACCTAGCCCAAAACCTGACCTAAAATCCAATTACAACCCCATCTCCATATCTTTGATGAAATCATGATCCATGGACTAAATTTCCAATTTGAATTTGCACAGATGTAGTGTGTTTTTTTTCATATTTCAAAAATTCATTACTTTGTTACCATTGAACCGATTTTATTTAAGACTTTCGCTATTCTATCTCTTATATTTTTCTGCTTTTCATACAAATAAACTTATTACAAAGGTGGGGTTGCCCTTTAACTCTTTTACAATGGCATTCTATCCCTAATTTATTACTGTGTTTTCTCTAGGTGTTCTTAGCAGACTATGGCTTAGTGAATAGATATAAACCTGATGATAAACATAGGAAATACGAGGAGTTCCCAAAGAAGGGACACAATGGCACTCCAGAATTCACAAGTATTGATGCTCACCTAGGAGTCTGTGAGTTCAACTACTCATCATTTATGAAAAGCCCCTGTATAGTGTTGGGAGCCCCAATTTCGCCAACAATAAAAATTTCACTTAAATTGTATCGTAATGTGAAAGAGGATGTCATTTAAGACACACTCCTGTAGATGTGTTTGAAGACTAATATTGATAAAATAATACAAAATTTTGATTTTCTGTTGTACTCAGAAACCTATATTTTTTATTCTTTCATCAATATTCGACCTCATACACATTTGTTTTTAAAATCCTGGGAGAAATGTGTCTTAAATGACATACCCTTTCACATTATGTTACAAATTAAGTGAAATTTTACCATCAAATTTTTTGGGCTCCCTACACTTAAGAGGGGCTTTAAGTAGTCTAGATAAATAATGCTTCAATTTGCCCTTTGAAAAAATAACAATTGAAAGGTGTACAACTTTATTGCTTGTTTGTTTCAACTTGTACTTACATGAATATCTAGTGGATATGAGTAGGTTATCTCATATATGAAGGAAACAAATTTACTTGTAGAGATACAGTCTGCAGATCCTCTACAATTATATCTCTATGTCTGCCTCTTACAATTAATTCCTACAATTTTTTTTTTTTAAACCTTCATTGCTTTGTTTTAGATTTGATACGTGTTGGAAGTACAAGCTAGCGACATAGAACCTGTGTTCGTAGCATTAGGAATAGAATTCCTCTTTTTGTTTTTCAAATTACAGTCAAGATTTTTGTTGATGAGTATGATTTGCATGAAGGAAATAAGAGAAGAATTCAGACACTGATGCTGGACTCAGTCTTTTCTATGATTTGATTCTTGTTCTTGTATGTCATTTTGTAATTTGTTGATTGTTTTTAAATCCATACAACTACCAGCTCCATCTCGTCGAGGTGACATACAGATCTTGGGCTATGTGATGCTGCAGTGGCTCTGCACAACATTACCATGGGAAGACAAGCTCACAGATTTAAACTATGTCATGAATCAAAAGATCAAGTAAGAGAAACTTTATCCTTGTGTAGACCCAGATATCAAGATCAAGTCACTGTATAAATAATAAAGTATAAGGCTTATATCTATGATATCTAAATATATGTCTTAGATCGAAGTATAATTAGTTTATTATTTGTTCTTTTATCAGTCTGGAGGGAGTGTTGATAGGCAGTACATGTGATGTTCGGACTAGTTCACAAATCCATAACATATATTATTTTGATGACACCTAATCTTGTCATAGATCTTGCCCAACATAGCACTTGGGAATGTGTGCATGTAACCGCTGTATTCTGACTATTGAAATCTGATAACTCATGAATAGAATAGTCTGGTTATAGGATATAGGTGTCTATTTATTAATACACTTTTTTTGGTGAGATAATGAAAAAATGAGTGTCAAATTTGAAAGAACATACAATTTAAATGACAAAATCATCTTTATTTGATCTAAAAACGGCTCAGAGATGGCTGAAATATCCATAAATATAACTATTTCTAGTAATAATTTTGAACCACCTGTTCAAAAAACGGGATAGCGCCTTACATGTTCTATTCCTGTTATAATATGCCCTTGTATTGTTCTTATTAATTAATTTTAATTAAAGATAAACTTGAGTACTGGTAATGCGATTGCATTGTGAAAAAAAAGGTGTGGAATGGATCAGAAAAGTTGATCATATAGCATGTAAGTAATGGTGTGTAATGCAAGGTTCTAGAGTCATCAAAATCATCATAAATTTAGCAGAGTCTTGGTAAAGTAACAATCACTTACACAGATAGATGTATATGGGACAACACACATGATGTCGGGGCTAGTACTACCCTGATTTCCTTATCTTTCTATGCTCATTACTCAGCCAGTATACATTTTCTTCCAAAATTGTTTGGCACATGACATTTATTTGTAATCTTGAACATTCAGTGTAAGTTTCGTTAGATTCTGTGAGAATTCATTTTCTTTTTTTTACCAAAACTCAAGTTTATCTTTAAGTAAGGGTCAATGTATTGTTTTGAAAGTGGAGCTGAATTGGTATGATCTAATCTAAATTTCGCACATTTGGGGTCTAAAATTACCTCCATAACAGTTTTAGGTCCTAAAATGGCACTAGAAATGTTATAAATAAGAATAAGAGCAGTAATAAAGGTTTTAATTGCCCATTATTCTCTCAATATATGATTGTTTTTACAGATATTCCAAAGATATTTCTGGACTACTCAAGACTTGTTTCAGTTCTTCCTATCCCAGTATGTATTACTAAGAGATATGTGCCTATAATACATCCTCTTCCTTTTCTATCTCTTGAGGGCAAGTCCAATCCAAAATAACTTACTTTAAATAAAAGCAGAAAAAAAAGACAAACAATTCAAAATAAGTTTGAGCAAAATCGGATAACTAATAAGAAAGTTATGAATTTTTAATGACATGAAAAACTTTGAAAATCACAAGACAAATTTGCAGCTCACTCATGTGTCTGTGACGTCATTGCCTCACTACCCAATATTATTGTTTTCTTTGTATTGATAATATAAATGTCCAATTTTCCCCCTAAAAATCCTATTTCCACACACCAGCATCCAAGTTATATAGATTGTAATATGTTTTTGTGTGGATGCACTAATAAAGAGAATTTTTTTTGTTGGTTAAATCATAAACAATTTGAATTTTGATAAGCTGTTTATATAGTATCAATTGTTCAAAGGTCATGGAAGATTTTGTGAAATGTCATGCACGCAATATGATACAAATCATATAACCTGGGCAAATTATTTTGGGAATGGACTTGGCCTTTAATAGAAAAGCTCACCCAAGAAATAACGAAGATCCATCTAGTTCTTTTTTCTTTCTTGAAACTGTAGAAATGTTCAACATATCAATGTATAAATGAATACTGTCAACTGTTTAGTTTGTAAACTGTATATTTTGCATTATGACTGTAATAAGAGAATGGCTCGTAACAAAATATCAGCATTTGTCAAAAGAAATTGTAAAATTTTACTTTAATAGAATTACACAATGACCTGATACTGATTCCTATTGTTATTGCTCTTTTAGATGAACTCAAGACCTTCCTGGACCATGCTTTTAAGCTGAAATATGATGAGGAACCTGATTACAATAAACTACGAGCACTCTGCAGGACTGTCCTCAAGCGTGAAGGAATCAAGGAAGGATCTGTCTTTGACTTTGGATCTCAGTCACCCACTGACGCTGTTCCCAATGGTTCACCTGTCCAATCCAAGAAGAGGAAAGCGACTTCCAAAGAGAGAGAACCTGCTCCTAAAGGCAAGATGGCGAAGGCTGATAAACCAGGTCCATCAGGAGCTGCATCCCCCAGAGCTGCTCCTCCTAAGAAAAGAACGGCATCAGCAAAAGAACCGGGTAAGACAGCAGAATATTATGAACTGAAGCAAGTAAAGTTTGATACCAGGTTTTCAATTAAAAACGACCCTATCATTGATTGAAATGATAATGATACTGAGCATTTCTTCATTACTTTTTGTCAGAGGAAATCATGGACCCGACATTTGGAATAATTTACCCCAATACATAAAACAATGCACATCCCTTATTCTTTTAAAGCCCATGTGAAAAGAAATCTTATTTTGGAATATTCTCCTTAGACTTTATCAAAGCCTGATCATTTTATTGATGTAATTGTTTGAACTGTTTGAACTTTCTTCCATATTTGCCTATTAGTTGTCATTGGTACATTATTACTATTATCCATTTTTATGGCACGCAACTGTACAGAAGTCAAATACGTGTGTTTTGCACCGGCGCGTACAAACCTGCTATAGTGCACTTTTTGACCATATACATTCTGAAACTTGCACTGTTGACCCACACAACACGCTTTCCATTTTTTATGTTCTGGGGCTTTTTTTACAATTAAAATTGGGTGACGATCTGAATACATTATTTGTAACATAAAACCTTTTTGGCACCGTGTAGCTTCCCCTTCCTCCTCCCAGGCTACCATCCACTCAAGCTCCCTGCCTAATATGATGGTTGGTCTACTGCATTTATTTTGTTGTTATAATAATATGGTTAAATTATTGCCACATTTATGTATTATGATTGTATAACTGTTCTAATTTCATTGATTTCTTATTTTAATTTTATTCAAAAAAAAATTCTTAGTATATTTCAGTTGATTTTGTTAATAAATGCAGAAAAAATCTGCCTTGAAAAAAAAGAAGAGGGGCCAAAACTCAAAAATATTCTGCGAGACTTTTAATCATAAATGACCCTCTCATTGATTGAAATAATAATGATATCGGACATTTTTTCATTACTTTATCTCAGAGGGAACCAAAAATCAAAATATTTTACTCTTGATATTTGATGTTCTAAGTAGGTAAACTATATTTTGGAGAAAAAAAATCAGTTTGATATATAACTTCTATGAAGGGATATTGCAAATTTACATCCTAAAATTACACTCTAAATGAAGAAATATCTTTTCTCCCTACTGGTATGTTCCAGAATCATTTACCATTTTATCATCTTTATGTGTATTTATGTATTCTAATTTTCTGGAATTTAGTGCCCATGTTTCATCTAATAAAACAGACCGAGGCCATAGATCTCAACCCAAGGTCTGTAAGACAGGAATTTTTGCTCATTGGAAACTATAGACAGTAAAGGCTCATTATAGGAATGCATGCATAACCTGCGGCCCTGCTCTTTCTTTGTATGCAATTTTCAGGAATTTAAGCTTTTCCTGGAGTCTGGAGGCTTCATTTCACCAGGGGGGCGTTTCACAAAACTTGTCATCAGTGACGAATTACAGTTTTTGTTATAAGCTACTGAAATCCTTCCTTCTGATTGGGTATCAGCAGATTTGTCACTGATTTTTGTCATTTGTCATTGAAAAAATGCTTTGTGAAACGCCCTCCAGATGGTGACACAAATAGTCGCTTTTCTCCATTAGATAGTTCCACATGCCTGTGGAGGGGAGAAAGAAAGAGTAGATGTTGAAAACATTTTTGCTGCTTAAAAGCTGGAATTAACCCCAATATTCATCGAGAGTAACATATTATTCCAGTCCTATCATGTACATGATGTACCTTTACTCCCTATAATACATCAGTTACAGGGACAAAACTTCCATATCTCCTGCACCATAACAAATATATTCAACTAATCAATTTATTTCATCCAAAAATGAAAATATCTTTGATATGACCATGTCAACATTTACTAATGGATCTTTCTGATATCACTTACATTATGAAATAATCATTTCTTAAATGGGGGGGGGGGGGTGTAAGTAATTTGTCAATAATGTCGTGCAAGACACATCCAGAATGACTCTCATACATGTATATGGCTTGAAAGCTTTTTTAACATGTTTAACCTAGCATAGTACAATCATTGCACAATTTAATCCACATCAGAAAATTAACTATCTTAGAAAAGTACCTTAATCCTTTAATCAGCTGCAGTTATTAAAGAATTTTGTAAATTTCTCTACTGGTAAGACATAATACAGCACAATGTTTTTCCATTTCCCCTTTGACATGTAGGGTGTATATTGAGTGTCAAGACTACATGTCTAATGAGTCTCTTCCCATGCATCTGATAATTTCTTTATATCCAAGAGCATTCTCAATGACAAAATATGAATCAAAATGGTTATTTGAAATTTTAAAAGTTTATGAGAATATTTATGCATCAAGTATGTCATACAGGTAAGTATCAATTATGTCATACAGGTAAGTATTAGTTTTGGAACCATTGCTTAACCGCTCTGTGATAAGATTTTTTTTTTTAAAGTAAGGATGGTATTGCTTGGTAATGCAATGAAATTGACACAAATTACCATGAAATTGTTCTTTATATACTTTCTCACTATGGTATCAGAGGGAAGGCCCTTGAGTGGTGTAGAAGCTACCTTTCAGAAAGAACACAATAAAACTCCGTAAATATCTTCCATTCATCAGTTAAAATATTACCTGTGGGGTGCCTCAAGGCTCTCTTCTATTGTAAAACAGCCTCTGAGGAACAATACTTCAACAAGCTCTGCTTCTATTTAGTTCCTCTTTTCTTGTGCCATTACTATAATTTTTGTCATTGTATTTTTTTTTTGGAATTGCAAATAACATTGAAATTTCATTGTATTATGTTTTGCATGAGAAATAGAATTTTTTTTAATCCCTCCCCCCCCCCCCCCCCATAAAAAAATAAAAAAATCAACATTTGACTTGCGCTTTTTGGTTATACCATAGGCTTGCATATGGACACATTATAATAGTTAAATAGACAAAAAAGTTGCATTTGCTTACTGTAAAGAGTGACTGAGTGGTGCTGAGTTGTCTGTATGTGATTAAAATTGATGTTGTGATGTCTTATGAATTGGTTGCCTAAGTGTGATTATAAAGTAATGAGCTTGTTTTGATGTTGTTGACATATACAAATAATTTGATGCATTGGCATTCTAGTTGGAGAAAAAAATAAAATTAGTCTCAGTTGCTACTCTGTATTTCTTATTAATGTAGTGACATGATTCATTATTTCTCACATACATATATATATACTGTTTAAAAAATGTATAAAAACCTTTAACAAAAATTGTGACATAAAATTTCTAATAATTGTTGATGATGGCTATTCTAGCTGCTGGAACTTCATGAAGTGCAAAAGTTCATTGTTATGAACCATTTCTTTTGCTACAGGTAAATTGAATTCAATCACTTTTGAAATTTGCAAGAGTTTAATTCACACTATTAGTTTTCTGGTTTTACAGTTTGCAAGTTCTTGTAATGGGATGGGAGTATACTGTAGTAAACCTATGGTATGTTTTCTGTTGTCTTTCAGTAAAGTCACCAGTCCGGTCTCCACTCCAAATAAAACACATCGTTACAACACCAGGAGCACTACAAAAAAAAGCATCAAGAGCTAAGAAAGCAGCCAAAACTAGTAAGTATTGAGAAAGCAGAAATTTTTAGAAAATCACTTGTCCAGATTTATGAAATTTTCATTCCAAAAAAATGATTTAATGTAACTCACTGGTTCCACTTTAGGGGACGGCTCATGCTAGGTGGGACCGGGGAGGGGCGGGGCGGAATAGTTTGCTACTACTACTACTGTATGTGACTCGGAATACCTGTCACTTGTAGCTCGTGCAACTTATTTTACTTCTATTACTACTACCACAACTACTACTACTACTACAACTACTACTACTACCACAACTACTACTACCTCTTCTACTATAAATGACTCGGAGTAGTTGTCACTTGGGGATATGTTGTCTAGCGATTGTGTGCATTAAACTGCTCTCAGTCATAGCCAGACCTTTCAATGATATCTCTTTATACTAGATGGAGTATCTACACCTAGCAGGAGAATCAGGAAGATAAAGACCAAACCAAGTCGGATGGTAGCCTCAAGTACACAAACAACACCGGGACTGGAGAGGAGAGCAAGCAAAAGATTAAAATTAACTCTTATGTAGACTTGAAATACTACATCCACATGTTTATAATGTAGCTCAGCGAACGTAGTTGCATGGAAAGATACGTCCGGAATGTGGACGGCGAAATAGTTTAGTGGTGTTGGTGAATAAACAGTCCTCATTTGACATATTTGAATGAAGTTTGAGGTAATATTGAACCTTATCAAAGTAAATGCATGTATTTGCGAGATCCATATCTTAAAACTGAGGAGGGTCTACCTTTGTGTGATAAAATAATGACATTAAACGATGATTCATTTTTGCGTTCAGGAAGTGTCTTTTTGTGCCATGGCATTCCACTGATCTCCCTACAAGAACAAAGTAGCCCATTCAGGTATGAAATTGTGAGTGTTAAGCTGTCTTGTGGCTCTTCTGCAGCCACTTCGCGACTACCTTTTGTTTACAGCTCTGAAATTTTAATTTTGTTTTAAATTGGCCCAAGCCAGGCCCTTATGGCTTGGCTTATGTGATAGTCTGACAGCAGAATCAGACATGCTGCAATTAGATTTAAATTCAGATATCATATTGTTTTTTAAGTATTTTTTTATCAACGTGCCCTGCATAGACTGTATGTAAAATATTGATGAGAGTTAGCAGAGCAACATGTAATGATATGAGACTGGAAATATGTTGAAATAATTTGTATCGTTTGTTGAATATAAATGATGTAAGCAGATGTATATCTCATAAAATCTCTCAGTCAAATATGATGACCAACTATCCTGAATGTTTGTGAAGTTAAAACAAACACAAAATAGAAACTCTTTGTTTCATTATTTTAGTCAATATATTCACTTTGGTGTAAACATAGCCAGTCATTAGAAACTCAAATGTGTAGGTTACCTATACATAGTAATTTAACATTTTCTAATGTTGTAGTGTGTAAGCAAGCATATGATGTCAGAAAAAAAAGTTATTTATGTAGTGTTAAATCACAATAAGTGCCATGCTGTATAAGCTGTTATTTTCACATACAAATATATTTTTGTGAATTTGTTGTGCAATGGCACAGGATACTAACGTTACATGTTCACACAAGCATTGCCTGGCAAGCTTATTTTTGCTTCCTGTTCAATTTGCAACTCTACATCAATTGGCAAAATGTACAAGAATAAAACACTCATAGATTTTGCAACAGTATTTTGGTCAACTCCCTGAGCATGCATATTACACATTCTGTTTACATTTTGGTATGTGCCCTCCACTTTTTAACCACCCCCCCCCCCCCATAAGCATGCTTTTGTCTAAGTTGATGCACCAGATGAGAGGCACCTCCGTTCCTTCAAAACCGTAAATCTTGGATTTACTGTTGACAGTGTGGTTGCGATTATGCCCAAAGTAGGGAAATTTAAGGAGGTCAGAATGAATGAAGTGCCCAATCCAGTTCCAGATCAAAGCCAATTTAGAATACTCAAAATGAAGAAACCCTTTCAAGAAAATGTATGTGAAAAGCAGGCTGAATCATTGTTATGTTATAATTGTTCAATTTATGCTGTTGTAAAGTTTAGGCCTGCCAATGTACCTTATAAGGTGAAAACTAACTTGGGGACACTTTACATGGCCGGGACATGGAACCTTTAATGGACTTCCTTGTTTCTTTTACTTATCTTTTAGTACTCCGCAATTACACATTTTCTTTCAGAACTATTTAGCAGATCAGTTTATAGACAATAATATGTGGTGATAACTTGTTGGACTGTATTAGGATTTTATCTGTACCAGAACTCATACTGTAAAAAAAGGTTAGAAATTCAATTTTAGATGTTATAATGCGAATCTCTCTCTCTCTCTCTCTCTCTTTCTCTCTTTCTCTCTTTTTCTCTCTTTTTCAGCATTCCATTTTTATTGTAATGTTTCTGCAAAATGTTAGAATGTTGGATTATAATCAAAAGTTCAAACTAGAGACGTAGTATACTTGTCATAATTTCCCAGATTTGCACTTGCCAAAACTTCAAATCAAATTTAAATGCATGTATAATAGGGGAATAACTCTAGAGTGCCAAAATGATGTCAAAGTAGTTTCGTTTCATTCATTTAAAAAGTGTACCAATCATCGGGGAGGGGGGGGGGGGGGGTTGTACAACTAAAATGTATAAAATCAACCTCAAAAATTTAATTAGCATTCTTTGGGCTAACGGATAAGTAGTGTGTAGAAAGCAAAGAATAACATTTAAAAGAAAACAATGTACAGGATCGAAGTCAAACTTTGGATTTCTCACGGGCCCTGTTTTATGTAATAGCATATGGGTGTCTCCCCGCAAGTCACTCCCAATTTCATGGACAATGTAATTAAACTTGCAATATCCAATATTTGAAGCACATATTTTGCATAGAGTAAAGTGAACATGGAAAACAAAGTAGTTTGGGGTGATTAGTACACTTTAATTCTTATGTAAAACAAGAAGATGTATTTCTAGAATATATAACTGCTAAAGATGAAAAATTGTAATATGCTGACTAATAAATGAAATATACTTTTATATTTGTATTGGAGTTAAACAGTTCAGACAACATATCATACACATCATTTTGTTTCAAAGTTTAAAATGTACTCTTTTAATTGCATTACTCAAGAAAAAGAGACTGTGGTATCTTTAAGCACTTTTTTATTGTGAATAAAGTATGGAATAAAAACACTAGTAGCTTGACGGGTCTTTTGTGATGTAAAATTTGTAAATGATTATGTATATTAAATGTATCACTTAGCTTTACAAATAAGCAACACGAGAAGACAGAAATGAAATACACCTGTTGAGAGTTGGACAGTGTTGCACATCGTGACCCCCTAAACACTACAACTTTAGAATGAATTATCATTTCTTCTTTTTCTTTTCCTTCTTCTTCTTCTTCTACCAGTAGTTCCAATGTGTTCATTACGTACTTGATTCTTCTTCTTCTTCTTCTTCTTCTTCTTCTTCTTCTTCTTCTTCTTCTTCTTCTTCTTCTTCTTCTTCTTCTTCTTCTTCTTCTTCTTCTTCTTCTTCTCTCCTCCTCCTCCTCCTCCTCCTCCTCCTCCTCCTCCTCCTCCTCCTCCTCCTCCTCCTCCTCCTCCTCCTCCTCCTCCTCCTCCTCCTCCTCCTCCTCCTCCTCCTCCTCCTCCTCCTCCTCCTCCTCCTCCTCCTCCTCCTCCTCCTCCTCCTCCTCCTCCTCCTCCTCCTCCTCCTCCTCCTCCTCCTCCTCCTCCTCCTCCTCCTCCTCCTCCTCCTCCTCCTCCTCCTCCTCCTCCTCCTCCTCCTCCTCCTCCTCCTCCTCCTCCTCCTCCTCCTCCTCCTCCTCCTCCTCCTCCTCCTCCTCCTCCTCCTCCTCCTCCTCCTCCTCCTCCTCCTCCCGGTAGTTCCAATGTTCATTACGTACTTGATTCAGTTATACTTGGAAACGTATAAGACACAGAAAGACCGACATTAGACTTGTCCGTTTCATAACTCAGAATGTTGAAACAATGTTATCCAACATGTAACAATCGTCTTTTTATGCCAATTGTAATGGAAGGGGCAAACAAAAACGCAAGCCCATGAATAGCACATAAATCTTTTATGAATCTTTCTTTTTGGATCGTGGATACAAAACTAAGGTCATAGGTGGAAAGCTTTGGGAAAACTATTTTCGGTATCACTGTATGTAGTACAAATTGTATGTTCACATTGAAATAATGTGAGACTCGATAAATTGAAGCTCATCATAAATTGATGCACATCATTTTCAGTCCATTGCTGAAAAGGAATATATTGTAACTTTTATCTCATAAGAAAGCCGATATAATTAAATGCTTAATCTAAAAAATCAGTTTGGACACGGTTTATTTTACTCGGGTGGGGTGGCTGGCTATCATGGAACATTTAGCAAACGACCAATTACATAAAAAAAAAATAATGAGAGAAGAGAGCGATAAAGATAAAGGGAAGAGAGAAAAATATAAAAGGAGAGAGAGGTAGACTGGATCCGCATGACTGACAAACTGATAATGTTTAACTTTATAGTTCACGCATGTGCATGCACTGTAAATAGAAACTGCCCCTTTTGCCAATTTGCTCAAGGCACTGACGTCATGCGTGTGCCATTCTTATATCAAATATCATGACCTGTATCACGAAATGAAGAAAGCAACATTTCTACACGTATTCACCCATGTCATTTGGTTCCACTGCGTTTGCCTGCCTCCTTTCAAAGAAATCGAGCATTATGGCATAGGCTTTATTGACTATTTTTTTCTCAGAAATAAAAGTTGTGTCTTGACTCAAACTGTTAGTCGTCAACATAAGTATAGAAGGAAGTAATTTTAGAAATATGTGGAGGCTGTTTTGTATCGGATTTAAATAGAACGAATCAGAAAGGCACATGGTATAAAACCTATTTGGAAGTACCTAAACACAGGAAAAAGCATAACATGTTGGCAATAGACAGAAGCCTATACTTACAGATAGATTGGTCTGTCCCGATTTTCATGTAAGTATACTAATTTTGGCAAAATGCGATTTGACATGACTTTTGCAAAGCATTTAAGAAGAGTACCGGGAAGCAAATTTTCCCTAGGGCTAAATAACCTTTTTATTCTTAGCCTCGGAAGTTTTCTATCACTGAGCTTCCTCAAATCCAACCAATTTCTTTTTTCACCTTCACTGTTATGTTAACGTTTATAAAAACGGTTGACTCGTATCAAAAGACCAGTATAATTTTGAATAAACCAACATTTTTACGAAAAGGAAATTCGCGATTGAAATCCCGTAGAGCTAGACAAATTTTCTTTGCCTCAAAACAATGTATTTTTTCCACTTCTAATTTAATCTAATTTACTTACGATTAAAAAATACTGGTTAATTAACATCGGAAAGGGTTTACAAAAAAAGATTGATGATATAAGTTTTAAGAATTAAAAAAATAAAATGCTGCAACGACTAAATTTCATTTTTCATCGTGCGTCATATCTTTTCAGTTTTTATACAAATAAGTGTTTTTTTAAAGGGAACATTTTCTGAACTCTGATCAGTTCAAACGTGTCCTCTAAACGTGCGTTACTCGACAATCGAGCAATGTAACGTCAAATATGGAAAGAAAACTAGCAGCATCAAAACAAAACATGAAAGAAGTATCCTAAACATCTCATAAAAAAAGACAGAAAAACAAACAAATGGACCAGGAGCAGAAAAGAGTCCCGGACATCCTTGAAACAGCACCAAAAAAAAAATTAAAAAATGGAATTTGGCAAGTCACATCAGCCGCAGAAATGATAATCGCTGGAGTGCAGTAATCACTCACTGGACACCATATGAGGGGAAACGTAACAGGTGACGCCAAAGATGATGGAGAGATGAGCTGCAACAGCACTGGGGAAAGGTTAATTGGTACCAACAAGCACTAAACAGAGACATTTGGAGACATCATGCAGAGGCCTGCACCCTGCAGTTGATCGACATTGGCTGAAAAAGTAAGAAGAAGAAAGAAAGAAATGGCATGCAAGTTCCTGGCCTACAACATTAACCTCATTTTAAAATAAATAATCGATGTTCAATTTATGTCGTGATGTTGTAATTTATATTGCATAATGGTAATAGGTGTTTTTTATCCCCATTTTGAATATGCTTTTTGGGGACCTTTAAAATCAGTACCACTCCCCCCCCCCCCACCCCCTCCAATCCCAAAGGGGGACGGAGATGGGGATAGCTTGACAATACTAAAACGAAACGTCCCTTTCGAAATGGGACGTAGGTATAATCATTGGCGGGGGGGGGGGGTCGAGATACTTTGAAGGGGAAAAAAATAACATTGGAATGGTAGAGCTGGAAACTGGCTATAACGAGGAAAAGTGGGCTTGAGGATCCTCTGAAATGGCGGCACAGGTCGTAGTGTTGACCAGCAAACAATCAAACAAAATACTAATAAATACAAAATATAAAAAGGACGCATTCAATGGACGTAGGCCTACATTGTTAATCAAGTGCAACAATAAATTGTTTTATCTTTCTTCACTCTCGATTAGCGGTGTACGCGATAGCGCCCCTACAAGATCAAGATTCAAGATCTTCATTTTATTGTCCCCGTTTATTTCATAATAAAAAAGAAATTTGGCCGTATAGCCCCCCCCCCCCTCTCTCTCTCTCTCTCTCCCTCTCTCTCCCCTCTCTCTCTGGCATGGAATATGCATGCAATTTCAATACGATGAACTTCCCACGACAACCTCTTTACTCTCCCTACCCCTCTTCCAACACCATCACCATTAGAACCATCATCATCAACAATTCCACCACCAACACCACCATCATAATTACTACTACCACCACCAGCCAACGACTCTCTATACCCATCAACACCACCGCCGTCGACCACCACCACCACCACCACCACTCCAACCACTCTTGAAGTTCAAGTTTTATTGTTCCACATTTTACAAAAAATATAGACATATTATACAATACAAGTATAAATGAGCACGTCTCAATGATTCTCAATTCATATAATAGATTAAGTAGAATGTGAGGAACCTATTAAAAATCAGTGCTTGTATGTTCCTTGAAAAATAAGTATTGTCGATCACTCATCCCCATTATGACTACCATGTAACATCACGCCCACGACCACCACCGGCCACCATCGGCCCCAAACCAATATTACCCCACTCCCACCCCATCACCAACACTATACCACCACCACCACCACCACCACCACCACCACCACCACCACCACCACCACCACAACCAACTCCAATATCATCACCCACCATCTCTCCCATAACC